TATGCAATCTGTTAGCCGGCAAAGCACTATTTAAAGCAAGTAATTTATAAAACCACATGACTTCGAATGATAAGTGTGACATTTCTCAATATCAAACCGGCTGTAAATACGAAAGAAACGACAATGTTGTAAAAAGCAAATATTATATTTTTAAATTCTACTATGTTGAATTGGTATGTACATATGTAAGCAATGGCGACGCTTCGCGTATCGATAGATTAAAATAAATTTTAAATACAAACACAAAGTAACGGTGTAATATCTGCGTTTGGCACATATTTTAATACAGGATTGTATCCGTCTCTGAATAATCTGATTGTTTAATAACACTTCAGCATATTTTATGGAATTTTACAAATAAATAAATAAGGTCAGAGACTTCGATTAAGAATATTTGACAAAATAAAAATTGATTACATTAGACCTTATTAAACCTTATAACATAGTTTTTTATTAACTTTCTTTCTAATGCATTATCATGACTAAAAATTAACGTATTATGTTTGCTTGTGAAAATTTAATTTGCAATGACACTATTTTTTTTTATAAAAGAAGTGATAGATCACAAGGATGAACCTAGTATGGAATAATAGTGCTGTCTGGAAGCCTTATTCAGTCGACACAAGGTTGATTTGATTGTATTTTTATTGTGAGATATAAAACTATGTTCTTAGTATTGTCACTATTTGAATTTGGCACCGTGAGCCTTCACCATATCATTCAGGCATAACCGTTGGCTACGGGCCTATAATTTAGGTACTAAGTGCCAAACTTTACAGTTAAGAAAGGTATAATTTACTAGGCAAAAGAAATAGTGTAATATAGTGCTACGTCATACCACGAACAATGTGGAAAAAGTGTAAACATTTGTGTATTGGTCTAGTGCCTGTATAAACAGCTCGTATAGTGCTGCTGTCAAGGTGTGAACTATAAATGGACGTACCGACCTTTCTGCGTATTAATTAAGGAACGACACTAGTCATTACAATAATGAGCGTTGAGTGAATCCGTATGTGGAATTATATGAAAACTAGCTTTCCGCCCGCGGCTTCGCCCGCGTGGAATTTTGTCTGTCACAGAAAAACTTTATCGCGCGCGTCCCTGTTTCAAAAACCGGGATAAAAACTATCCTATGTTCTTTCCCGGGACTCAAACTATCTCTATGCCAAATTTCATCAAAATCGGTTGCGAGGTTTAAGCGGGAAAGCGTAACAGACAGACAGACAGACAGACAGAGTTACTTTCGCATTTATAATATTAGTTGGGATTTCCACAAGACCGAATAGAAATTAAGAAGTGAAACTGTGTAAGTAGAACTGAAGTCTAAAGATTAACCTCTAAAAGGAAAAATGAGTTTCCTTACAGAAAGACTTACAATGCGCATTAATTTGACACACTCAAAAACTATTAGTAATTAAACATGATAGAAGAGGCAATACAACACAATACGTAAGTGAGTTATAGTTTTAAGTATGTACCTAGTATAGCGTCTGGTTTTTTAAAGTATGACGTACGGTACGCGTCCTAGAATGTCAATACCGAAACTAATTCACGCATCCACGATTGTTTTCAAGAATGACTTTAGGTAGGTATTCACATAGTTGGATTGAGGTTACAAGTTTCAAATACAGTGGGTAATTAACTGTGGTATGTACAAAAACATTGTTTACAATTTGTAAACGAGTTCAATTTACGGTACCAAAGTGGCTCGATTCTCATACTTAGCGCCAAACATGTGGCGGTAATCATATGTATTTACTAGCTTTCCGCCCGCGGCTTCGCCCGCGTGGAAATTTGTCTGTCACAGAAAAACTTTATCGCGCGCGTCCCTGTTTCAAAAACCGGGATAAAAACTATCCTATGTTCTTTCCCGGGACTCAAACTATCTCTATGCCAAATTTCATCAAAATCGGTTGCGAGGTTTAAGCGGGAAAGCGTAACAGACAGACAGACAGACAGACAGACAGACAGACAGACAGACAGACAGACAGACAGACAGACAGAGTTACTTTCGCATTTATAATATTAGTTGGGATGCCGTGGGTGCCATATGGTGAACTCTGTCATAAATTATTAGCATTCAATATTGAACTTTATCTATAATACTTCAACATGTCATTTTGGTTGATATAAACTGTCGGTTACCTGTTTAACTTATCTAGCTTAGTAACTGGAGGTTTAGCCGAGTTATTTACTATTATAGACACTCAACATTAATGCAGAAAAATGACATAAAACGACATAATAAATATTTAGCTTATTTTTAACAACGTTAAGAAGAAGGTGAATTACTTGTCTAGCACGCATTAAAGTGCAATTAAAGAAACCAGCGTTTAAATACCCTCGTACTTTATTACAACAATTTAAAACAATGACAAAGAAAGTGATACGATCTTCAAACTACAATTATCACATAAAGCAAAACTTTTATACTAGTCATAAACTGAATTTCAAATACACTCAAAATATTTACTTAATTTGGGTTTTAGAGAAGAGTTAAATATTCTTAGCGTTTGACTAACAGTGCAGAAGTGTTATCAGAGTGATTTGTCAAGAGAAATTATGTCATGAGGCCAAGACCTTTATCTCTGCCGTCAGTCATGAACGTCACTCGCAATTTGGCGTTAGAGAAAGTAATTCTTGTTCAAACAATTGGAATATTTGCATAAAAACAACTAGCGATGTCGAAATACATGTTCAGAGTTACTTAACTCCTAAAGTATTTTTAACTCCTACTAGTTATTGATCTATGTTAAAGCAAGATACATTATTTAATTTTAATTTCGAATGCTAATCAGAAATTCTATCTTTGCGGATTCATCAATGTTACATGTTGACCGTTATGTCTGCCCGTTTTGGATGGCTCAATTAATCAATCAGGACCAATATAATTTTATAAGTAAGCACAGATTGTGTAAATCCTTTTGACGAGGCAAGAGCAGAATGAAGTAATGCTTACATAAGTGAGAAAACAGTTTATAGTTAACTGCCAAATAAAAAGCGACATTACTCATTACAGCAGTAGAAACCACTAATATAATAATAACTTAACAAAGTTCCTTTACAAATGTAGCTGGGGCTTTGCTATAAGCGGTTGTAGCTCCTAAACAAACTAAGGGCCTTTCACTAAAGGACGATTTTGTAACGGGTGACCTGGTTTAAACCCAGTTGTGACGAAGGGCAGTTAAAGTGCGTATAGGAACTTATGACTTTGAGCTTCGAGCTTTAAGTGACGCCTCCGTAAAGTAAGCAATAGATAACAGTATAAATGTATGTTTAGGTCTTGCGTAAAGACATGATTGCAAAATGTAGGAAAGATGCTGTTTCCTATTTGGTTACTTTGTAAAACACACCTAGGCTGAAAATACACTCGTCGTCAAATAAATCGCACCTCCCGCGACAAGCACTTTCAAACGAATGCATCCCCACTTCCTACCAATATTGGCACTATTTAAAAGCCTAGTTCTAAACTTGATTTCATTATTGGAAAGGTTTTTACCCCAAAAATGTGTCTTTAGAAGGATCCAAGGTCACTTCTTCAAAAAATAGGTAGTTACGCTTGAGCCAACTTTTATGGCTATAAAACTGTTATGTTGGGATTAATCGCTATCTATCTGTTAAAGAGGACACGTGAGACCATTATTTGGTTTTATAACCATAAAAAATGGTCTAATTGATCCCAGAGGTGAGCCTAAAGTGAGGTATTTTTTCAAGTCACATTTATGGTTAATCATTTATTAATAAATTGAATGTGTTTTTCTTTAAGGATATTAATTGGGCTTTCAAATAACACCTATATTGTTGGGGCACCATGATTGTGTCAGAAGAAAATCTTTAAAGTTCGCGTCGCGGAACGTGCGATTTATTTGATGTTGAGTACCTATATTATAGAACTGTGTGGAACATTTGTCACGGACTCACGGCAGAGCTGTTAATCTGTCTGACTCATTAACTAGTTTTACTAAACCAAGAATAACAAAGTTGTATTATTTTAAAAGGAGAATAAAAATATGTATATTGTGCAATTTAAAAACATGCTAGTTCAGTAATTGTCGCTTCGACTTCTTTGACTTCTAGTCTAGTCTCAGTAAACTTGTTTAGTAGGTACTTAGAGTTGTTCGTTCATTTAATTAATTCATACTTAGTACAAAATTTTATAGATTACTTCTTCTAGATTTAGTTTCAAACTTAGAATTCATATTCTTTTAGCATTAAAATCACGATTTTTTTTACAATTTTCAGAATAAATCCCAGAGATTACTTGCTACTATGCTACGGACGGAATAACACTAGCAACAAGACTCAACTGTCTATGTCACATGATCAATTTTTCAAATTTCCCAAAAACATATCATTTATCATTGTTATGTATGTGGAAGGTATAATAAACACCAATTCTGTATGTACTCGTACAACCGTCAACAGCATTATCGGCGTCCGGATTTGATATTACGGTAAAGAGCTTATTCATATCTCCTGGAAAGCGACATTAATTTTATTGATGGCCGCACGTCATCAGGCATTGCATTGATTAGGGGAAACCTGGGATTTACACAATGCCTCATTTAAACAGAATGTACCGGTTAGAGTAGGCGCACACCGTTGATTTTTAGTTGGCCGATAGTTGTGCCCGATTTCAAATTGTATGAAGAATCGGCCAAATTGAATCGGCGTAGTGTGCGCACTTCCATACATGCCCATACTGATCAACAGCCCGACTAAACTATCGGCCGACGATAAATCAACGGTGTGCGCCTACTCTTAATATTTAAACACTAGCGGCCGCCCGCGACTTCGTACGCGTGAATCCCGTTTTTCCCGCTAATTCCCGTTCCCGTGGGAATTTCGGGAATTCCTTTCTTAGTGCACCTCTACGGTACCTAAGCTACGTCCCTTCCAAATTTCAAGTGCCTACGTTTAGCCGTTTAGGCTGTGCGTTGATCTGTCAGTCAGTCAGTCAGTTTCTCCTTTTATATATTTAGAAGATGTTCAGTTCTTACCTCAGATATCTCTGTGTACATGATTCCATGTTCATCCTCGTAAGTGATGTTGATGTTCGCCACCGTGAAGGTGTCGAACGGCGTCCGCTCTTCGGCGGGCCCGTATCGCACCGACTCCAGCTCACTCCCCGGCGCGTGGCATCCCACCAACGCAATCCACCCTAGCGCCGCTATACTGCACCACAACTCTTCCGAACGCATATTCTCAAACTCCAATACACATCCGATACTCAAAAAACAAAGTAACACTACACAATGTAGCTGTGCACAGTTCACGACACACTCGCACGGTCCAAATGTTTCTAAACATTAATATCAGCTGTAGTACGCAGCGCGGCGCGGTGTGACGCTCGTTCGAAATCAGCACGACTTATCTACTGCGCTATCGGTTAACGAAAACAGACGCAATGGATTTAGTTAAGAACGCGATAAAATATCGTTATCGTTCGCGAAGTTTCACATGTATTTGCACAACACTGAGAACAGACACTGCTTGATATGCTGAATTGTGAACTCAAAAATGTAACTCGATGTTGCGGTGGGAGGTTTTCGTCATGACGTCGCTGACGCAGCCTCTGTGTTGTTGTGGCTCAGAGCGGCGGCCGCGTAGTCGACTGCTGCCCCATACCCGTCGAGGAACCGTGCTGCAGCAGGCAACTGAAACAATAGACATGACGTCAGAACTGCCGGTTGGTGGTCACGTATGCTGCGGAATCATAAAGCCGCATTAGTGCGTAGGTGTGTTCACATAGCATGAGATACGTTACTATAATATCACTTATCGCTTACTAGAAGACATACGATATGGTATGGACAAAATATTTGTAAGGAGCGAGCTATACTTGTACTTATTATGTAGGTCACTTTTAACAATGTTATCAACAACCCTAATATTCCCAAATGCCAAGAAAATAAGTGTCAATAAATGTTCTAAAAATATACAAATTTTTATTGGACCGAAACGATAAGGCCGAAAACTGATAGCATAATGAGATGTTTGTTTATAAAATGTAGCAATATTAAGGTCGTCGACACGCGGCCAGTGAACCCTAGGTTCTAAATAAGGCATTAACATGAGTCACTTATTCTGGAGACGATAAAATACGAGCTAAACACTAATTAGGTTTTATTATATTAATTGGTCGCGACATTTGCATTCGATTCTTAGCAACATTTCGATCATCAACGACGCATACCATTCGAGTGCTCGCATCTTGTATCCGAAGTCCGAATCACAATGCATTTATTCCTATGCCAAACAGCGGTGTTAAGGTTCTTTTAGTAAGTAAAATGGCAACTAATTAGTAATTATATTTAGAAAAATAATGAACGTTTATTCAGTCATTTAGTGAAAATTTATTAACTAAACATTACTTAACAAACGGATTATTTTTAGCACAAGTAAATATATTTATCTTTGTGTCTATCAATTGCACTACACCCAGCTGCAACAGAGCAGAAAGCGGCACACCCTTGCACCCTTGGAACGTACAGAGTCAAGTTTTGTTCGCAGCACATTTGGTAAAAATAATGACGTTGACGTTTTTCGGTGTGCTACACACTCACAATCCTCGTCGATGTAAAATTTATTTTAAAAAAAATCAGTAAAAACCCCGAGCAAAACATCTGTACAAATTGCGGTTTAAAACTACTGGAATTTAAGTGATTTATCCTACGATTCACGCGAAGTTTCTCCTGTAACTCAAAAAGCACTTTTACAGTTTCTTCTTCAAAATAACTTGGGTTAGTTTTCCAAGAAATTCTCAACTTAGCAGTTTTCGACCGTTACTTGACTTGAACCTTATCGTTGTGGCGCGGAAACAAGGCGTAGTGCACAATAACAATGTTCAAGAAAATCAAAGGACCATAAAACAGCGGATTGCATAACGAGCGGGCGGAAACTGGGCCGTTGCACGCTGGAAACTGTAAAAACTACTAGCACAAGTTAAAATGAACAAAAAGCATTTACTTAGAGATTGCAAATAATTTGTCGCTGGCTATAGACACAAAATAGAATAGGGCACTTCTGCCGAAACAATAACGATAAAAGACCGCAATGAAAAAGTATGATATCGACACCTACAAGAAAAGGTTTTAGGTACGATATAAGGGTAAAGTAAGAAAAATAACAACTTCATGTTTCACATGTCATCTGATTTCTCTCGATAAAATCGCCAACGTATATTTGATACAGAGCGTAATGTGGCGTAATCGTCGGATAACTCAACTATCTCAAACTTTGAAGAAAGATGAGCATGCAAAACAGACAGCTGTGATGTTTTAACTTCGGTATTGTAATCAAATATAAGTATGCAATGTCAACCGTCAAAAAACTATTAACATAACTATTGTAAAATGAGACAACATTAGTCACATTCGAATCGAGACTAATCCTATTCGATGAGGTGTTGCGTAAAGCCAAATCAAATGAGGCAATTTGGTCGCAACATGTGTATTACAGAATCTTGATGGCGATTACATAAACTAAACCGATCGGCGATAAGTGTGAACACACCCTAACAAGACTAACTGATAAGGGAACCAGTATTTTAATACAATTAATGAACTAACTAAAAGGTAAAATGTTTACCTTGTGCAATGTAAGTTAGAACTCCATATTGAAATTATCATTTTCTAACAGAAAAACTGCAGCTTTTGGTTTTACAATTCTCGGATAGAATTAGAATCGTCATCAGGTCATTTAGTCAGTTGAGAAGGTCTGGAGGTCTGAGAAGTAAATGGAAAAGGCCTACACTCCCCCACCCCTCGTTGGCCAGATGGGTTGGGGAGGTTTGATGTTCGCATATTTGTCCTTTTGTCACCTTTTACGACATCCACGATGAATAAAGCCAGCAATGTTATGCGTCAGATAACATAGGTTGTCAGGGACCAGGAAACTTTAAAAGAGACCAGTAAACAACTGGGCAAAAGCTTAAACTTGCTTAAAAATACAAACAAACGCTTACTATGTAGGTAACAATCGAAAGGCATGTCTCCCACTAAAGCCACTAATATTTAATATGCAATTTTGTCCCCCGAACATTACTTGCGTTACGCATGCATGGGCACTACCTATGCGTGCGCATGCCATATGCGTGTAACGCGTGCAACGTGCGTGCATGCAATCAGACTAAGTAATTGTCCACTAACTAATGTAATAGGAATTTAGAAGGTAACTAAGATATTATCATAATATTTGTTCTAGCGTAGTTTACACTAAGAGGTTATTTGAAATACATCCATTAAAATGCAAATGTGCTACAGTTGAAACAGTAACTAACTAGTAAACAAGTATCACAATAGTAATATAGGTAACATTTGTGTAAAATGCATCATGTTTCCAGCAAATTATTTATTTCATATTTACGAATGATCTATCCGCTTGGCGACATTAATAATTTAATAATCAAAAATATTTATTAATTTGACAAAGACTATTGGGAAACTGAATTTCTAGGAAATACTTTAAAACAAAAAAATACTTATGTAAGTATTAACAAATCACATGTTAAATATTATGTGCATCTTAATACCTAGGATATAAGAGCATAAATCACTTCTGGTTTTTCATATACACTTCCTAATGATAAGAACCACGAAAGTGGGTTATGTAACCTTTATCTTTGTTATCAGGTTTACGTACCTATTCAAATAGTATAATTAAATAATACTAATTTAGGAAGGCGATAAGAGAGGCTTTCGCGAGATGAAGAAGACGGACGACCGAACTGTATGCGACAAAATAAATGTTAATTAATGTAAGCAAGTTGTATTTTTAACTCACATTAAATATTAAGAGAAATAGTAATTACCGGGGTTATCTATACTTATAATAAATCTGTAGAGAGGTCAATTCTGTACATGAAATATATTTTCAAAATAACTATCAGGGGGTGATTAGTGATCGATACTGATGCCAAAAATGCAATCAGTAAAATTTTTGTCTGTCTGTCCGTCTGTATGTTCCTTATAGAAACAAAAACTACTCGACGGATTTTAACGAAACTTGGTACAATTATTCTTCATACTCCTGGGCAGGTTATAGTATACTTAGGAATTCCTACGGGAACAGGAATTAGCGGGAAAATCCTTTTGTATGAAAAATCTAAACCGCTTAAGTTAGACGCTTTAAATTTGGCATGTAGGTACCTTAGTAAACTAATTCCCACGGGAACGGGAATCGTGGGAAAATCCCTTTGTATTAAAAATCTAAACCGCTTAAGTGAGACGCTTGTAATTTGACATGTAGGTATCTTAATAAACTTAAAGCTTAGTTACAACAAGGAATTCCCGAAATTCCCACGGGAACGGGAATTAGTGGGAAAATCCTTTTGTATGAAAAATCTAAACCGCTTAAGTTAGATGCTTGAAATTTGGTACGTAGGTACCTTAGTAAACTAATTCCCACGGGATCGGGAATTTGCTGGAAAATCCTTTTGTATGAAAAATCCAAACCGCTTAAGTTAGACGCTTGAAATTTGGCATGCAGGTATCTTAATATTCCCACGGGAACGGGAAATAGTGGGAAAATCCTTTTGTATGAAAAATCTAAACCGCTTAAGTTAGATGCTTGAAATTTGGTATGTAGGTACCTTAGTAAACTAATTCCCACGGGAACGGAAATTCGCTGGAAAATCCTTTTGTATGAAAAATCTAAACCACTTATGTTAGACGCTTGAAATTTGGCATGCAGGTACCTTAGTAAACTTAAAGCTTAGTTAGTAAAGGGAGTTAGCGGGAAAAAACATTTGAATGAAAAAATCTAAACCGCATATGATAGATGAAGGGGGTAAAACGGGATCCACGCGTACGAAGTCGCGGGCGGCCGCTAGTACAAGATAAGCATTTAACAATAACATAAGCCCGCATCAGATGTACAAAGATCACGTCTGATTAATCATCAAATTACTGTGGTCTCTTAATTATACTACTGTACTAACTCGTAGTAAAGTGAGACTCGAAAATCTCTGGTTATACATGGTGGAAACGATAAGTGATCTCACTCGATTATTTCTAAACAATACAAGGTTATCAAAAAACTAGTTAACTGATCCTGAAAGTGCTTCATGAGATCTATCAAACTGTGTTAATAATAGGTTACAGAATAAACTGGATCTATCCGAAAATTCGATGTTTTCAGCTTCCATACATTTGGTAAAGGGCGGCACATAATATTAAAAAAAACTACACAAGATATCGTAAAACTAGTTATTGATTCTAAAAGTGCTTCACGAGCTCTATCTAACGATATCAGCAATAGGCTACAGAATAAACTGGATCTATCCAAAAATTCAATGTTCCATTCCATTCGTGTCTCGATTAAGAAGCCTACAATACCGAATGCACTTTTTGTCCTGACGACCATGTTAGATGTACTCAGATAATAATATACAGTATGCACTTGCCTCCATACGTGTAAAACATAACTATACTGTGACGGACATACGTCAACGTCATACCGGCATTGAATATTAATGCTGAACAAAAACAGATCTTATTTGATGCCTATCTTATACAATGCTATGTAGAGAATACATAAACAAAAATATATATCTGTCAGTGTACGTTTTTGAACACTAATTAGGTAATGGAGATCTAAAGTAGGCTGGGTATTTTTCACTGCGTAATTATGTTTATACCCTGTAAATTGCACTTTG